CCAGCCCTGAACAGGACATGAGCAGTGAAAAATCGATGGATGGATATATGTAGCTTGTATTTGTATACAAGTGAGAATATTTAGTTTTATCTGCGAGCCAGATGCAATCATCAAAAGAGCCACACCACGAGCCATAGGTTCCCGACCCCTGCATTAAGGTTTCGCTTTTTTTGTTTGACAAAAGTGGAATTTATTACGATGGAAAGTGTGAAGGTACCTAACTCTATTATCATATGTGGTTTATCTGAAACTGAGGTTGATAATGAGGTTTTCGAACAATTGAAGCAATATGGTAAAATTTCAAGAATAGGCAAAGTGCCTGATGCTTGCAACCAAGTAATTGTCGAATATGAATCTGGATTAGCTGTTGAAACACTGAAAGGTTCTAAGCCATTTGACAGAGTTTGTGACGGTAACACTGACATTGTTCACCATGTTGATGCTCTTGCAAATGTGTACTCACCTGAAAAAGGTACAGGTTTAACAGTCATTTCTAACTCAGCTTAGAGACATTGCTAAATATAGTGGAAAATCTTTTGAAAATGAGTTAGCCAGAATATCTTACCTTGTTGGCCAGACAAAGCCAGCAGCTGAAAATGTTATAACTAATCAATTGAGATGATGAACTAGCTGAACAAACTCTCTCTAATACTGACCCTGAAATTGAAGAATACCCCAAAACTGCAGAATCACACTCAACTTACAGCGAACATACCCCAGAGCCAACTAAAAGTATTACTCCTGACATAAGCCGACCTGACCCACTTCCACAACTGAGGCCAGCACTCGACCACCTGAACCCACCTGAGATGCAACGGTTCATTGTGGAGCATGTAGTGAAGAGCTCCGACCTTCGCTCAGACCTACACTCAGTGAAGCTGAGGACTTTCTCGGGAAGAGTACCATGTCCTAGCACTGAGGTTGACTACGATACCTGGCGAAGTAGTGTGGAGTTTTACTTGGCTGATCCTGCTGTCCCCAAAGGGCAACTGGTGAGAAAGATTGTCGACAGTCTTGTAGCTCCTGCTGTGACAGTAGTGAA